TTTTTTGGACTACATGTGCCACAAGTTGAAAACTAAAAATCAACAAAGGGCCTGTAGTGATGATAATTCTGTAAAATTTGGTCGCAGCAAAAAATCCTTCCTTTACTACGATCTACACATTAAGGTTGTTATTCCCTGGAAGTTTAAGCAAAATCTGCCATCCGGTTTAAGAGGAGTTGCGTTCACAAAATTTATATATAGTATATAATGAAAAAATCAACAAAGTGCCATAATTCTGTTAAATTTGGTTGCAGCAAAAATTCCTTCCTTTACTACCATCTACACATTAAGGTTGTTCATCCCTGTAAGTTTAAGCAAAATCTGCCATCCGGTTTAAGAGGAGTTGCGTTCACAAAATTTCTACATAGTATAGAGTAAAAAAATCAACAAAGGGCCATAATTCTGTTAAATATGGTTGCAGCAAAAAATCCTTCCTTTACTGCCATCTACACATTAAGGTTGTTCATCCCTGGAAGTTTAAGCAAAATCTGCCATCCGGTTTAAGAGGAGTTGCATTCACAAAATTTCTACATAGTATATAGTGAAAAAATCAACAAAGGGCCATTATTCTGAAAAATTTGGTCGCAGCGAAAATTCCTTCCTTTACTACCATCTACACCTTAAGGTTGTTCATCCCTGTAAGTTTAAGCAAAATCTGCCATCCGGTTTAAGAGGAGTTGCGTTCACAAAATTTCTACATAGTATATAGTGAAAAAATCAACAAAGGGCCATAATTCTGTTAAATTTGGTCACAGCAAAAATTCCTTCCTGTACTACCATCTACACATTAAGGTTGTTCATCCCTGTAAGTTTAAGCAAAATCTGCCATCCGGTTTAAGAGGAGTTGCGTTCACAAAATTTCTACATAGTATCTAGTGAAAAAATCAAGAAAGGGCCATAATTCTGTTAAATTTGGTCGCAGGGAAAATTCCTTCCTTTACTACCATCTACACATTAAGGTTGTTCATCCCTGTAAGTTTAAGCAAAATCTGCCATCCGGTTTAAGAGGAGTTGCGTTCACAAGATTTCGGGACGTACGGACGGACGGACGGACTGACGGACGGACGGACGGACAAGTGCAACGCTATATGCTCCCACATTGTGGGGGCATAAAAAGACATCATAGTTAATTCATTACATTTTTATTTTGGGCGCTGACAGGGCTGTGGTTACCACAAACCTTTCACAATCTATCTTGAAGGCTTTCTAAAACTATTTATATTTCTGAAAACATTTACGTCTCAAACTAATTCAGAGAACTGATACACCTGATAAAATACTATTTCAGCAAAACAAAGGGACAAAAACATCAAAAACAGATCTATGGTTTGTAACACTTATAATTGGAGTTGTTTTCACTTCCTTTAAACTCATCCATGTGACCTTGTCCTTATGTAACATGTCATAAAAATACAATTTCAGATCATAGTTATAAAGTTAAATAATATTATGATCTTGGTAAGTTAGAGTGAAATATAAAATTATGAGGAGTTGAGAGTGAAATGATGAGAAGGGTGAGTTCAAGTGAAATGGTATACATAGGCGGGAAGAGTGAAATATCATATAAATTAAGGAAGATAGAGTGAAATATGATATGAAGTGGGAAGCCAGAAATTTGTCCAAAGGACACTGATGCCCCCATACTCTACTGTCTACATCCAGTCTAGAGACAAACAGCTGGACAAGGACAAATCTATATGCCTATGTCCACCTCTTACAGTCTAGGCATGAGCTTGTTAGTAAAAAGGAAACAACAAAGCAAGGTTTAAGATCTAGTAAAGTTGGTAATTCACTATTAAATGTATGACAGCAATTTAAGACTTGTTCAAATAAACTCATTATTCAATGAGATAATTTTTTTATGTTTGCCAATACAGTATCTGAATATATGTTTTAATAATATTGGAAAACAGCAGCTAAATTCAGACAGGAAATGTAAACAACTCAATACCTTTTTTAAGATGCTTAAGATAAGAATCAAGTTTTTACAGAATTTGAATAAGAAACGTAAAAAGAAAACTATTTAAAATTATCTTATTATTCTAAATTCATACACACAATTTTGAAAATTGGTCATCTTATGAAGATGGAAACCTGCTCAACAAACATGATGTTCAAAATCTTTTAATGGCCAGTATAACTGAAGAGAAAGTCAATTATTTTCTCGTTAATTAAGTATTAACATTATAGTAAATAATTATACACTCATCTAGAATCTAATGTAAACTTTTTTGGACATAATCAAGGTCCTTACAGATATGTGTATATATTTGTGAAGTAAAATGTTTCGATATATATTTTTTATAAATTATACTCAAAATGGAGGAACAAATAGTAATAAAACAAAATTGCTAAATTTTCATTTTTGGGTAAAAATATGCAATTTAACAATTTTTGTAAATTCAAAATAAATCTTCATGTTAAAAAAATAATCACATATACTTATTACACAATTTAAAGCGACCTCCAGCTTTTCTAAAGGTTAAATATGTTATTTTCTGATAAATAGTTTCATATAATTGTCAAATCAAAATGGTGATTTTTTCTTAACATAAACAATAAGAAAACCACTTAAAACCTCAGCTCTCAATACTTAAATTAGAATGCAGACAAATCATTTCTCGATCTTCTATTTATAGACACAAACATTACTGACACTATATAAATAGCTGCTAGGACTCTTGTTTTGAAGAACGCTTAACATTGATATGATGCACTTGTTATGATGCATTTTTTCAAGATAAAAACACTGAAATACTTAGTTTGAAACACCAGGAGAAAATAAAAGTTGAAGGTCGCTTTATTATCTATACAATATTTACTTAGCTATACAAATGCAATAGTTTGTACTAAGTTAAAAATAAGAGTTAATGAAAATTCCATCACTAGTACTAGCAGAAATAAAAAATAAAATCCTTGTTTTAAAGATTAAAGATGTTTTATAGTAATAATAGATCACTTAACTGGACATACTGCTAATATGAACAACTTTTTTGTCTGTGAAGCTTTCTATGAAATAATGACTAAAAAAATAAAAATTAGTTGCAGAAATATAATTCAAACACAATTGCTAGAATGTACTAAATGTACTTGGGAGTTATTACTCTGTAACAGAATTAATCTACTGGTTCCATTATTTGGCCAACATGTAGGTGCTTAGACAGATGGATGGACAGTTGGTCAGAAAAGTGTCAAATATATTTATGAATGTAAGGGAAAATCAAAAAATCAAATTATGATTTACCATGTTTTACAAAGATTTTTATTTTTGTGTACTTCTGTTAAATACCATGTACCTCAAATTTATACGAATAAACACATTTAAAACTGGCACAGATGATCATACATCACTGTATACACCTTAACATGCCTACCGTATATACCTTAACATGCCTTATATACCTTAAAATACCTGCTGTATGTATATCCCTTTACATGTCGTATATACCTTTAAACACCTGCCGTATATACCTTTACAAGCCATATACACCTTTACATGCCTGCCGTATATACCTTTACATGCCTGCCGTATATATCTTTACATGCCATATATACCTTTACATGCCGTATATACTTTTAAACACCTGCCGTATATACCTTTACAAGCCGTATACACCTTTATATGCCTGCGGTATATACCTTTAAATGCTGTATATACCTTTAACGCATGTCGTATATACCTTTATAAGCTGTATACACCTTTACATGCCTGCCCTATACACCTTTACATGCCTGCCGTTTAAACCTTTACATGCCGTATATATACCTTAAAACACATGTCCTATATACTTTAAAATACGTGTCGTATATACCTTTAAATGCCTGTCATATATACCTTTAAGTACCTGCCGTATATACCTTTAAATGCCTGTCATATATACCTTTAAGTACCTGCCGTATATACCTTTAAATGCCTGTCATATATATCTTTAAATGCCTGTCATATATACCTTTAAATGCCGTATATACCTTTACATGACATATATACATTTTCATGATAGTTTTTACATAAATGAAACTTTCGATGTACTTATTATAAATTATGGCACAAAAATGTATAAAAAAAGTCAAATTATATTCAACTATTAAGTAAAAGATAATCTGTATTTGGGTTGAATCAATTGATTTTTTTAATTCAACATGCTCAAGAAAATAGAAAAATGTACAATTAAGTGTTTCCCATTTGTCATATTTAACTTTTGTCGACATTTAATTCAACTTGCCTCAACATCCATAACATTTCTTAAAACACATTTTATAAATCAATAACAGGCATACATAAAAAAATCTATGTTTCATAAGTAAACCATCCAATGATATACAGTTACATCTTTTACATCTGTATTTATTTTGTTTTACTTATAAAAAACACATTTAAATCTATCGTAACAACTTTAGCATTAAATGCAAACTATACACTGTATTTCTCGCATTTGAAAACAGAGACGTTGAGCTATACAAAAAGTAAAGTTTTATACTGGTACAACATTTCAATCTATTATTACAACATATTTTGTCCATCTACTCAGTTCAATAAAGAGTATTTGTGAAGTAATCCTGGGGTAGCTGGTGTAATTCTCTGGCAAGGTATAAGTTCTCCCTAACAACTGAAGTTGAAATTTGGTCTTTTGTCATTTGCCTCTTATCTTTAACTTAGAAATCAGGAAGGCCTCTTCGGTGGGCCACCAAGATCTCACCAAGATCAACATAACAACCAAATGTTAACGCTTAAACTGCTAAAACCAAAAGTGATCAGCTTTAACCACCAGTGAGTAGTCTGAACACACTATACTGTTGGTAGCTTAAACTTGCATTTTGATTTTAAAATCCTTTAAACTTCAAATAGACTGTTCCCAATTCAAATCAGTGTAAAAACAATACACAAAGTCAGCAGGTTTAAGTTAAAAGAAAATTACCAATATTACCATTAATTTATAAAGAAGCTGTATCTGGAGAACATTTACTAAATATCTTATTACACTATATGCTGATAACAACATAAAATTAATTACAATTTATTACAATTTGTATTATATAACCACTGACAGTTTTACAGAATCAAGTAATTGTTTAATGTCATATAACAAAGTATTTGACTAAAAAACTTTGTGCTATGTTAAACTTGTCCAACAAAAGTTTATGTGAAAAATTATCTTATTGCTTATGTAACACTTATATTTTATGTAATATATTATTATAAATGTTATTACAATTATATGGACTGTAATAAACGAATCAGACTAGAATGATATATGGCTAAGAATGTTTATTTTAATCGTTGTGTAACATTGGCTAGAGCGACAGCAAAAGCCTGTATTGCGGTAAATGGGTACTGGAAGTCTAAGGTGTAAGCATTGCTGTCAATACGTCCAAACTGCATCACCTGTAATTATACCATATAATTATACTGCTTCATCTGTAGATATATTAGATTAGACTGCATTGATATGCTGGCAGTGACTGATCTGCTGACAAATGATTTATAATATGTGAGCCTATTAATCATAATGTTATAAGAAAAAAGTAAACAATTTCAAATGAACACCATGCAGTCTTATATAGATTATTCATTTTATATGATCAGTAAACTGTCAAAATATTGTTTACTCTTCCAAAAAAAAAACATTTTTGAAAACTCAAAATTTACATTAGAAATCAAAAGATATTATTCTGTCATGCATGCATTATATCAAGCAGATAGGCACTGGACAATAATTATTGTCAAATATTACTGTTAATTATTCACCTGTTTTCCTCTGTGTTCAACCTGGAAATTTTTAGCTGATTCTTGAGTGACTCTACCACCAAAGTCGAGTTGATAAACTTGACTGTTCTCATTCCACAAAGGAGCCTTGTTGTGCAGGACAAACTGTCGATAACGGCTTTTCTCTTCACTTTTATTGAGCGCTTTTTTCAGCTAAATTTTGAAAATGAAAAGATTGAAGTTAATCAACCAAACAATGAGGAACAAGGGAAGAAAAAGGAAGGTAAAATGAAGTCTCTGTTTTAGAATGATAATAAAAACATTAAGTCTCTGTTTAAAAATGATAATTAATACATTAAGTCTCTGTTTTAGAATGATAATAAATACATGAAGTCTCTGTTTTAGAATGATAACAAATACATGAAGTCTCTGTTTTAGAATGATAATAAATACATGAAGTCTCTGTTTTAGAATGATAACAAATACAAGAAGTCTCTGTTTTAGAATGATAAAATACATGAAGTCACTGTTTTAGAATGATAACAAATACATGAAGTCTCTGTTTTAGAACGATAATAAACACATTAAGTATCTGTTTTAGAACGATTATAAGCACATGAAGTCTTTGTTTTAAAACGATAATAAATACATGAAGTCTCTGTTTTAGAACAATAATAAATACATGAAGTCTCTGTTTTAGAACAATAATAAATACATGAAGTCACTGTTTTAGAATGATAATAAATACATTAAGTCTCTGTATTAGAATGATTACAAATACAAGAAGTCTCTGTTTTAGAATGATAAAATACATGAAGTCTCTGTTTTAGAATGACAACAAATAGAGTCAGATAAGTCATAATTACAGTAACCTTTGAGATAGCAACATGCATATGTCATATCTTCCTCAGGTGCAGAACAGTGTAACCACCTTATATAATAATCCTAATATGCACAAGAAATATAGCTCGAGTCTTAAAAATGTGCGATCATCGTATCTGTTGTAAGGTTTTGTATGCTGACAAGAATAAAAAATGTCTGCTGGACATACAAGCAAAAATTTCAGCCAAGGAATATTTGTTAAGAAATCAGACATTTTATGAAATGAACCTTACCTTGTGCTTTAATTGAGCTTTCTGGAAAGACTCTAAATTTTTATAATTATATGACAGCCTCACATCCTCCGAGGAGGAACTAAAGTCATCCTCTGAAGTTTCCACTGATCGAGGATATTTTGATTTTCTTTTAAACAATGGGCTGTGATGTTTACATTTTCCACCTCTCATCACTTCTTCCTTCAATTTTATTGTTGGAGAGTCTGGTTTATGTAGTCTATGTAGAGGTGACGATGGCAGAGATTGTGTAATGTCCAAACGTTCAACTTCACTCAGAAGAGAAGATTTTCTTCTTTTATTGAGCACTGAATATTCCCTTTCAAAATCATTTTGGGTTCTAGTAATCCCATTAATCTGTATCTCTCTGTCACAGTTAAGGTTATCCTCTTGATTAATGTATCCTAAATTATCTGATCCTATCACATCACTGTCACATGAAGTCAATAAACTTTCATCTTTACTTAATTTACGATTATTTGATAACCTGCTATGGTCACATAACTCATGTTTTATTACAGTTTCATCATCAGGTAAAATTGCCTCTGTTTCTGTATATCCCTCTAGGTACAGTCTTTTCTGACTGTCAGATGTTGGAGTGAGAACCTGGCTGCTGTCAAACACAATATTTCCTTCGAATGTTAAATCTTTCACACTTTGATCATCATCATCAGCAAATTTGATGCCCTGACAAGCTGGATCTGCCCAGCGAGGTACGTTATCTACCTTGTCAGAACGTATAAACCTATCAACAAAACTTGGAACATGTTTATGAACACTGTCAGGAGATTCGGACTTAACACTGTTTTTACGGGAATCTTTTGGATCACCATTTGTGAAAAAATAATCACCAACCACCGGACTTTTTGCGCCATGAACTGAGCAGTCACTCACCTGACTTTTAACATTAGTTTCATTTTGACACGACACTGTTTTAGCACCATTTTCATGTGTTGTGTAGTGTTTTGAATTGCTGACATGATTTGAATTGACTGTTACCCCTATTACAATAGATTCATCAGTGACTGTCTGATTTGTTGTATATGTAGAATGTAGTGGAATTTTAGGACGTGCCCCGCCATAACTACATGTGTTTATAATGACAGGATCTTCTCCTGTATTAAAGGCATGATTGTTCTGTGGATGGGTCTCTGAGGCGGGGGAAAGTTTTGTTTTCATGCACACTGACTTTTGCCTGTCTGGGTAACAGTTTACAGTGGACCCATTGTCAGAGTTATTGTCTGCTGTATCAGATAACTCAACATGATTAGTTAATATGTCAACACTGATAATCTCCGAGTCCTGATTGGTCAGATTATCAAGTTGTGTAGGAATGTTGTTCTTCATAAAATATTCATTATGTACACCTGACAGTAAACCATCTAGCATTGCTGAAATTAAAAAAACATACTCTCATAAAATATCAAAAGTTATAAAAAATAGATTGAATAAGTACAATTAACATTAATTCAATATGAATACATTATTTGATAATAACAGTACAAACTCACAAAATGTTAATAATATAATACTTACTTTCAGTCATCATCATATGTTAATGGTTACAATTTTTTTATTTTTGTAAAATTCTAGCATCATAATAACACAATAAGGGAAGAATACTCAAAGTTTGACTTATATAGTTCTAAATGATGTTGCAAGAGAAAAGATGGAACTTTGAACATATTCAACAACCCTGACATTTACATTTAATATAATTTAATTTCTTGTTCACCAAGAAAAAACTGAAATATTCTCTCCAAAAAAAATGAAATATTCTTAACTGGTTTCTCCCTAGCATCCCTTGATAATTCTCAAGTTACCAACATTATTCTAATGAAGTAAACAATTATCGACAAAGTTATTAAATCTTGGATCATAAATGGAAATGAAGCACAATATTTAATTGCAGTTATAATTTTGCAAAACTAATTAATTTAAATTACAAATAACAGAGAAATCTATGAAAATGTTACTTCCACAAACATGTGACTTAATATCAGCATTGAATTTTCAAATCTAAGTGCCATATGAAATCTGGCATGTTTTGTATCTGATTTTTAAATTCATGTAAATTCCAGTTCACACTATCTTTTCTAAATTCATTTTACATCATTTTTACAGTATTTTCAAGCGACATTAAGCTCATTGTTTCCCTGTCAAGTTGAGTTGAATTAGTAATATATTTCAAAAGAAACTATCTAAATCATAAAGACACTGTTTTTGAGAACTGAGTTTTACCAATACATTTTGAACAATATAAATTTAGTAAAAATTTCATATTCAAATAAATTTCCTTTGATCATGTGAATTACTGATTATTTTTTTCATAGTAAAATATAATATTGCGCACAATTCTGACAAAATCTAAAGTTATTTAGATTATCTTTTAATTGTCCACTGACCATTTTCACTTGGACAGGCATATAAATAATGTGCCACTTTTTCAAGTATATTTCATTTGTATAAGTGTACTAACATCTTTAAAACTTAATTATACAAAAAGCATGCCTTTAGCTATAAAAAACAACAAGTACACTAAATTAACTGTTTATCACACTATATATAGTTTTATATAACTTTTGTCAATATTATTTAAGAAAAAAACAAAAACAGTATCAATCCTTTGAACTCGTACTGTGATAAAAAAATTAATCCACCAAATGGGTTCTGATCAGACAGTATAAAATGCTGGCCTGGTTTTAGAATGGTGAAAAATTCATGTTTGCTAAAATCTGACTATAAAAACCCTTGTGAAATAGTGAAATAAAAGTCAATTACATATGACTAGGATAATTGTAAAATATGGTCATACAAAGCTGATCTGTGTCATCTTCTCCTACTCCAGCAGGTGTGAAGTTTTTATCTTGTGCTAGAAGAGAATCATCACGTGGTAGTTCTGTCACTGTCACAGTCATTTGTCGTGGTTGTAGATGTAACAGGCTTGTTTTATACAACACATTACCCAGGTCCTCTGGCAGGTGAGCTGCTGTACCAACTATACGAAACTTTGTGCCCCAGATATTTGACATCACTTCAACCAGCTTGCTGCTCTGTTTATTTTATAGATACAAAAAAAATAATTGTTTGATAATTTAGATACAAACTACCATTAATTATCAATGTTGACACAATAATTTAAGTTTAAAACCAATTAACTAAATTGCCTAACCTAGAAATACGTAAAATAATGACAACCACCTTTCCAATTATTCACCTTGTAAAAAAGAAATAACAGTTATCATTCTCTGATATCTGCCATTTATCAGTCTAACTTAAAATGTGTGAAATCTCTTCCCTTCAATGTCAACAAAACTTTCCTTCACAAAAATCCTAAGCCTTCATTTTTGTCCTTTTACCCTGACTTGCAACAGTGTAACTAATGTAAAATGTAGCTAACAGACTGTCTAAATGTTCTTACTCAACTATTTTTAGTACAATACAACCTCTATATAGAATGACCTGAATAATCTCTTTACATCAACAGACTACCCTCTTAAAGTAAGACTTTACAATAAATTTCATATCTGGAGCAACACCTTTCAGCAACAACCAAAATTTTTCTCTCCAAAAAGGTGTTGCTGCACAAAGGTTGTACTGTTAATTGAAAATTATTCTGTTTTTTTTAATATGGAACAACATTTCTTAAAGCAATAACATTCGTGTTAAAGGTAAAAAAATAAGATCTACAATAGAAATCAGCAAAAAATGTTCCACGCCAAGACTATAATTTAATTTATGAAGTAGTGATCACAGATTCACAAACAAGAGGGCCATGATGGCCCTGAGGTCGCTCACCTGTATATAGGCCCCCCACCCCCAGGCCAATTTTTACCCAAGGGCTTTTATTTGTTTATTTGAACAGACTTGGTAGACACCCATAAGAAGATGTTTCATGCTAAACATCTAAGTTCTAGCTCATTGGCATTTTTAAAAGAAGATTTTTAAAGTTTTTACTATACACATATAGTTAAAAACAATGTCACCCCTGGGGCAGGGCCAGTTTTGACCCCCGGGCGTTTATTTTAACAAACATTGTAGATATTTACTTAAAGATGTTTCATGCTTAATATCTAAACTCTAGCTATTTGGGTTTTTCCAAAGAAGATTTTTAAGTTTTTGCTATACACATATAAGGAAAATCAATGACCCCCCCCCCCCGGGCGGGGCCAGTTTTGACCCCAGGGCATTTATTTGAACATACTTGGTAGACACCCATTAGAACATGTTTCATGCTAAATATCTTAGCTCTAGCTCTTTGAGTTCTTTAAAAGAAGATTTTTTAAGTTTTAACTATATGCATATAGGGAAAATCAATGACCCCCTGGGGCGGGGCCAATTTTGACCCCAGAGCTTTTATTTGAACAAACTTGGTAGACACTCATTAGAAGATGTTTCATGCTAAATATCTTAGCTCTAGCTCTTTGGGTTCTTTAAAAGAAGATTTTTTAAGTTTTTACTATATGCATATAGGGAAAATCTATGACCCCCTGGGGCAGGGTCAATTTTGACCCCAGGGCTTTTATTTGAACAAACTTGGTAGACATTCACTAGAAGATGTTTCATACCAAATATCTAAGCTCTAGCTCTTTGGGTTCTTTAAAAGAAGATTTTTTAAGTTTTTACCATATGCATATAGGGAAAATCAATGACCCCCGGGGCGGGGCCAATTTTGACCCCAGGGCTTTAATTTGAACAAACTTGGTAGACACTCACTAGAAGATGTTTCATGCCAAATATCTAAGCTCTAGCTCTTATGGTTTTTTAAAAGAAGATATTTAAAGTTTTTTCTTTTGGTTGCCATGGCAACCAGAGTTCTGCATGGAATTAAATTCTTTGAACAATTTTTAAAGGTGACCACCAAAGGAACATTCCTGTGAAGTTTGGATGAAATTGGCTCAGTGGTTTATGAGGAGATGTCATTTAAAGCAAAAGTTTACGGACGGACGGACGGACGACGGACGGACGGACGCCGGACGAAAAGCGATCACAAAAGCTCACCCTGTCACTTTGTGACAGGTGAGCTAAAAATGTAAAATTTGCAAATTTTTTATCTTGTAAACATAAGAACATTTAAGTGCTATCAATATTTACTGCAGTAGTACAAAAACAACTTTCAGAAATTCACTGATAACTGTATATATCATTATCCTATTTTCCCATTTTCAGACACATTAAATTGTATAGGGAATAAGTGCCAAACCAATGTAACATTACACTTAATCAAATGTTCATTTCAGTACAAGAATATATAGACAAGTCATAGATCATTGACCAAAGCAGCCAGACTTTCTGGTAAAATAATGGAACAGTGAAACCTTGTATAATCTTATCATTGTTTAGACACTTTATAATCAGAATGGCAGCTACTTTAGTAACTTCAAACTTTAAAAATTTATCTAATAGAATAATGTGACCAAGCAAAAATGTTACATAGAGACAGCCTTGGACCAAAAGTTATGAAACAGGGCTCTTTAGTTAATTTCACAATGCAGAAAAACAAGTAAAATTATTGTTCTAATAATTACCCTGTTATTTGTTATAAAAGGGCTGTATTGACCATTTTTTTATCTCTGACATGAATGAAGTCTGCAACTTTTTTCATCTTATTCTTGTGGAAATATAACTGTATCAGAAAGGGGGATCTATTTTGCCTTAAAGATCACATATGTATAAAGAATAAATAAATTCAAATTTGAATTTATTTAACTCTTGTAATCCCAGAAAATAGTAGAGGATCAAGCAAGGTGCATATATAAATCAATTTTTTTATGTCAGTCAACAAATAATGGGTTAATGACAAAACAAAGAATCTTGCTGACCACTATGGTGACACTAACTTGTCAACAGAACCATAGTTTAATTAAGTGCTAAAATTTAAACAAATTTCATTGAGGCTTAAAAGCTGATGCTAGGCATCAAATATTTCAGCTTAAGCTTTTGTTTGTTTGGCTTGTTTTATGCCGATTCTAACACATTTGTTTTGCCATATATTGGTGGTAGATCATCCTAATCAACTTTCCTGAATAACTAACCAACTAAGAGTGATAGACAAAATGACTGTTAGATAAACTGTCAACCCAACAACACTGATTATCATTCACCATGACAATCAATATATAAACATACATGTCAATTTTGATTAGGAACAATGTTTGGCTTAAGATAGAATATTTTTTGAAAACAGATGACAATTTCTAAGTTATACATTGCCATAACTCAATAATACAATACAGACTTTAATGAATGTGAATCTTTTTTTTTATATTAAAATAAACATTCATGCAAAAATGTATAAAAACTCAACACATCAGTATTGAGGAAGGCATTTCAAAGCTATTTATATATGGATATATTCAGTAACTTATTTATAGATAATTCTCAAAGTTATTATCTACCTCTGGTAAGTTATCATTATAGAAGAGCTCACTAACTTATTTATAGATAATTCTCAAAGTCATTTTCTACCTCTAACTTATTTATAGATAATTCTCAAAGTTATTATCTACCTCTGGTAAGTTATCATTATAGAAGAGCTCATTAAGAGTTCGGAAAGTTGTACTTCTTTCAATCTTCTCCGGACGACAATGTTTGAGTCTTTTTCTACGTGGAACTCTAGGGCTTCCTCCACAACCATCCAACTCTATATCACTGTCTGATGAAGAACTTTCTGTCAACAACTCAGCCTCAAAGTTAAACATCTGTCCTGTGTCACCTTGAAAACATAAAAAAAACATCAGCTACTTTAATATTGAGCTAAGTATTTTGAAAACTCTATTTACTATGAAAACTCTTTACTAGTAAAATATAGTGCTGCCATCAGACTTAATACTTATGTAATAAACATGGGTGGCCATAATTTGTTACCCTGAGCATTTTGTGTGTGTTAATTTGATACGTTATATTTTCTTTTTATTCAAACATTCAATATTGAAGAAACTTAGCAGATAAACATTAAATTTACTTTGATGTTCAAAAATATCCAATTGTTTTCTTTATGAATGAACATCTGACAAGACTTTTTCATTTTGAAATAATGGATTACACATGCTTTAATTATTTGTCTGACTTTATTGTAGATTTTTACACATTCATGATGACAGGACCTCCTAACCAGCTTTCCTAGTTAAGTAAACCAGCAATCATAAATTTCACTGCAAGTGATCCACGTCTAATCCAACATGATTTCTGAATCTAGTGAGAGACAAATCACCTTTACACTCAATGTCTGAGTTTAATTGTTACAGAAATTAGCCAGTCAAACAACCAGTGAATCAAGGATGCTCTCCCTATTGAGCTAAGGGGTTTAACTACACATGCTTTGATGTTGAGATATTTTAATATTGAGATGCTATATGTCATATATATATATGTATATATTTATAAAGCTTGATACTATACCTTCTTTTCTCAGACTTTTTGTTGCTTTAATCCTTGGATCAAAGATAATAAAGTCAGGTCTCAATTTGCTTGCACGTTTTCCTTTCAGTAAAGGAATTAAACCACCAAGGTATTCTAGATAGAGTGTATAATGTCCACCAGAGGTCTCTTCACCATGATGAATCATTGTACAGAATAATCTCTCTGATCCCGGTGGTGGTGTACTTACAAATGCTCGCAGTTTAAATGGATCAGGTATATAACTCTGTAAATATTTTATAACATTCTAGTACAAGCTATGTATTTATCAATAAATTCCTCTTCTTCTTAATCAAACATGAGGTAGCTTAAACCCAATACTTTTTTCAGGAGGATTAAATATTTTTTAAAAATTTTTCAATTATATTTTTCATTACATCCCCCATTACTATCTAAAATGTTTTTTAATTTTAAATTTTGTATATCTTTATCAAATGAAATTTTAGTTAAGTTTTTCATCGATAATTTTTTAATCGGGTAAAAACAAAAACAGCACATTAACTGATAAAAAAGAAAAACAAAAAAAAGATATTAATTAATATATTTTTAAGCTAAAAAAGACCAAATGCCAACTTTTTGTACCAATAAAAGCTCACAAAACTTCAGAATTTTTAAAGATATATTGCATGCAAAATTTTTCCCCAAATTTTTCTTTTAAAAAAGGGCATAATTTTCAAATTAAAATTCATTTATGGGCCTTTGGAGTGGCCCTTTTTTTTCTCAAAAAAGTGGTGGTACAAGAAAATCATTAAGGTTATAAAAATAGATGTTGTATCAAAATTTTACCCCAAATTTAATTTTAACCTTGTTAAGATAGCCTACTTTTTCTTAAATAACAAGCTAAAACTGAAACAGACAATATTAAAAATTTCTATACTAAAGGTTATTATAATTGCAGTGACTAAACACTCACCTTAATTGTAGGTGTGAAGAGAGCCTGAACATTTGAGCATAATTTGACAGGAAGTGGTAGTTTCTCTACATTGTAGTCATTACGAACAAGACATTGTACACTCCGCTGACACAGATATTGTAATGATGGTACATGTTTTACAATCCATGCTACATGTAAACAATGACCTGCAGCAACAAATAACCTCCGATCATTGTGTCCCCAACATAATGCTGTAAGAGGTTTTCCCTGTAATGAATTTTTTTTTTAATGAGTTTAATAAGATTATTTACATGTAGATATGTCATAAACAATCTCATGTTGTAGGAAATACTTTAAAACATATAGCTATCTCACTGTAAAAAAACATTTAAATAAAATATTTAGCAAAATTTAAAATCTCATAAAGTAAAAATAGACATTGTTATATACCGGTAAGATATGCATCCATTTTCACTGGTACATAAATTACCACATTCTGTTTAGTAACAATCTCCCATTTTCTTATTGCACATTTATATCATCATGTAAAACAATGCTATGGTACTTGACTGTTCACTCATTAGGGTAGAAAATGTGTAAGCAGCCTGATAGCTCAGTTTGACCTGCCATACAGTATTCCAAAGTCCCTGGTTCGAGGTTTACGTCATAAATATAACATAGAAAATGATATTAGAAGCATTTCTTATGAGTAATAGAAAGTAACATACCTGAGAAGGTACTGAAACCCAGTGTACTAGTTCCCCATCTGCTGTATAAAAATGTATCTCATTCTGACAAAGAAGATTTGGTAGACGTGTAAACCCTCCAACTGCCAAATACTGACCACAGTTTGACCAGTCTATTCTCAAACCTGAAACAAATACAAACATTTAATATACTTTCACAGTTTATCTGTAATCCTTGAAAATCCCACAAAAACTGACCACAGTGTGACATGTTCTTTGTGTATTAAACACTTCATAACCTGATATTACCATCCTTAAGAACTATTAACCATTCAGCAGCTGAATTCTAATATAAATTTGTCCAGCTTCCCTTTTTGTAACATTCCATTAATAATTTTGGGTATATCAAGATGAACATTTTAACAAACACATACAGAGCCTGTTCAGACTGCACAAATGTTTATGTTCAGGCCGGCCTGGCTCTATACTTGTGAAAGATCATTTTCAGCAGCAGCAGCGGAAGGGTTAAAATTATTCCACATAACCTATACGTATAACAAATGCACTTGTACAAAACTGCATTAACTCAAGTTTAAAAGGCTGATATTTTCATGTGTCTGCCATAATAAACATTTACCATAATTTTGTTTTATAGTTTTTACCCAGATTTTAACACATCTTTGGTCATATCTCTGTGGTCATTCTGCCTTACCAGGTTTCCTAGGTAACTGTCATAAGGACAGGGACTAATCTATAGTGCTAATCTATTCCCAGTGCTTGACAACTAGTTACAAGCATATGCACTCTTTTCATGAAAAATAAATGCAGTAAGCACACTCAATTCTCTATATCTATCAAAGTATCATAGAAAAAAGAAGAAGAAAATGAATGAAGCACTCATCCCTTACTATGCAGGGACTGATAGTGACCAGGATAAAGTTCACCAACATGCATGCCCTGTCTGACCTACATTATAAAGTTGGCTGATAAAATTTCATCAGGATATCCCCAAATGTTAATCACTCACAGATCAGTTCCAAACCTCAAGCAAGCTAGCAAAGTCTATCTCAGAAATTCAGCAGGTTAAGGGTTAAATAATTAGAGAAATAATTCACAGACCAATTTAATTGTTATTTATCATCCATCTAATTCAGTAATAAATTACAATTGACAAATAGTTTCTGTATGACAAAACCCATTCAATCTCTAGTCATCATTGTCAGTGAAAAGAATACATCACAGTTCATCTTATAGTAATATATCATTGACAGAATTCCAACATATATCACCACTAATAATAGAACCTTACAATAACACTATTGTATATGGTAATAACACTATGTATTTTGTAATTGCCATGGTCAGTCCTGTAAGATTTTTATCATCTTATTTTACTTCAAGCTTTTTCAACATATTTCCTCAAAAACTTATTTCATAATGCCATAATGTATACATGTATATACATGTACAATGCTATAATTCTAAACAGTTTTTATGAAAAAAACCTATGTCTGTTTCTTTGGTAAAATTAACTTCTATAGAAAATACATCAAAGTTAATCGCAGACTTTAAGCATTCTAGATGGCCTTATAATGCATTCAAAACAAGACAGAAATAAGTTATTGCAAAGATCAAAGACTTTAGGGGTGACAGGAACAAATTTGTTTATTCTCTGAAGATGAAATTGTTCCATAACGACAACCTGAGGAACATTTATTTTCATCAGTTTAAAGGAATGTAAAGGTCACAGATATAACAGAAAGCTCTTGCCAATTATTATATGTCTCTAAAATATAGCTTACCAATTATATAACCTTCTGTTAGAGTATCGTGTATACAATAAATACCAAGGTTAACACCACTATATAAAGGAGAAATATTCTATTACAACCATTTAATCTGATTGTGCCCTGTGCTTATAGCAGGAAAATGGTCAAATAAAGTAATTATCTTTACTTAATACATCAATCTAAATAATCTGATCTTTAATCTTGTTAAAGACAAATAATGGCACAAAGAAAACAGAGGCAACTGTAAAATGGGAGTCAATTTGTCTAGGTTGACATCAGGAAGTAAATAATTGATGATTGTAAAGTTTGAGGCGATATGTAAGGTATCATCTTTATATTTAATAGGTAATTTATCTTGTACTGACAGTTAAACGCAATAAGTCAGTTACTGAAAATTTTGTCCTACAGATACAAAAACAACCCTACCTATAACACTACACCTACTATAAAGAAATACACCCACTACACAGAATTATAACACTACACCCACTACACAGAATTATAACACTACACCTACTATAAAGAATTATAACACTACATCTTCTAAACAGATATATAACTACACCTATTGGAAAGAATTATAACACTACACCTACTATAAAGAATTTTATATCTACATCTACTATACAGATATATAACTAAACCTTCTATAAAGAATTATATATCTACATCTACTATACAGATATATACACTATCTACATCTACTATAAAGAATTATAAAACAACATCTACTAAACAGATATATAACTAAACCTTCTATAAAGAATTTTATATCTACATCTACTATACAGATTATAACTAAACCCTACTATAAAGAATTATATATCTACATCTACTAAACAGATATATAACTACACCTACTATAAAGAATTTTATCATGTAACTGCTATGGTAACTGCCCGATAACACTTGCCTGATAATTATTTTTGATATCAGGTCAGTAACCTGATATCAAAAATAAGCCCCGCCCATTTTACAATTGCTTTTATTCTCATTTTCATCAGCATGTGAATTCTGCAATGTAATCATAGTCACTTACAAGTCTTGAATCAAGACGATATTTATTTATTTATTACATCGATTTTGAATTCAATTACGAATAAATGAGATAGCGAATAGTTAAGCACCAACTAAATGAAGTGACCTCATAATTAATAATTGCAAATGACATCATCGATGTTCACGTCATACTATACATGTATCATAAAAAACAGGCTAGATGATTTTCTTTGAGAACTTTATTTTGCCGGATTATTATTTAATAAGTGAACAAATTGTTTTGTTTAAAAAATAAGACGCATGTTTGTGTAGCTTGTGTTTGATTGCCTATTTGACTTTTGATTGATTGAAAATATCATGAACTTTTGAATTTGACAATTCAAGACAAAAAGTGCAGTAAAGTTTTTGTGATTTTTAGGGATTTTTGGATCGATGTTTAAAGGTAAGAATTTTATCGTGTTTCATTCTGTTGTTTTTTTTATCACAGGAAATATTCTCGAGTTGAAAGAAAAAATGGCCGCCATATACAAATTCTAAGTTTCAGGGGCGGAGGAATTTGTTTTCAAGAATTATTTCTTTGAACAAAAATGCCCCTTTTTATGAAATTCGCTATTTAAAAGTAGATTATTTTGTAATTTTGACAGTTTTTATGTGTTACATGATAAATAGAAAAACATTCTACTGTCTTTTGATATCAATTTTATCAGGCGAGGCTGATATGGACAGAAAGGGCTCGGCAAGCCTCGGCCTTTCTAGCCCAGATCAGCCTCACCTGATAAAATTGATATCAAAAGACGGTAGCATGTTATTCTCTATATAACACTCACTACACCTACTATAAAGAATTATAAAACAACATCTACTATACAGATATATAACTACACCTACTATAAAGAATCATATAAAAAAAACAGTGAAAATTCAGTAATTTTTTAAGGTTTAATTTAAGAGCCAAGGTCAAAGTTAGTTTGATCTTTGTAAATGTCTGGATCTAAAGGATATGTATCTAAATAAGAAGACAATATGTTCATAAATAACCAGTTAAAGCAAAACATTTGCAAAATTAAAAATTTGACCTTAAAGGTAAAGGTCATTGATGACTCAAGGTCAAAGTTAGTTAGGTCAACTTGAAAGAACATTCCAAAGAATTGTTGTGTTCAATTATTATGAAGACAATTCATTAATTAACAAGAAAGCTATAGCCAATTTGTACCCTTTCTGGGATATGTTCTAATAAGTGGCATTATTATGTCAAAATACTTCGAGGTATGAAACTTCACATAGACAGTTGCATTGTGATCTTTCAATATTTCAGTGATGGGACAGGGCAAGACAGGACAAGATGGGGCAAATTGATTCCCCCAAAACTATGTTTGGTGGAAGAATAACTAGCTTATTGAAATAATGGCCTGGTTGTTTTATTATCAAAACATAACTGTCAAGTGACATCACATAAGCATATAGTGACATCACACTAGCATATAGAAAGCTTAACAAAGTGGTTTCTTTATATGAAAAACAGATACCAAAATCCAAAGTAACAGAATCATATGCATACTTTTATGCAATAATAGTGCTGTCCGAAGCACCTTTTTAAAGGGAGACACAGGCAAAATTTTCATTTCTTAGTTTTGAATTTTTCATTCATTATTCTGTAAATGTCCTCCAATTAAATACACTAAACAGTCAAAGGAACAAAACGTTTCTCCATATAAAGAATAAAATGGTGTTTTCCTATCTTGACCCGCGTGGGTCAGGTTAGAGCACTAAGATTTAACAATAGTTGTCACTCTGTACTCTGGAAACGTTAAAAAACATGTCAAATCAATTACTTAGACTTATTTTAATCATACAATATCCACAACACCTGTTATTGTAACTTCCAGGGTTTGTTCAAATCACATGACTTGTTTTTTTAACTATTCGGTGATTCTGTTGACGTCTAAATTTCGTTCAACATATGAAGTTATTTTCAAGCTTCAAACCCAAAATATATAGAATTTATACAGAAATTCATGCTGGGACTTTAAGAAATGTCATTTAAGGGTGATTTGAGTACAGAAGATAATTTTTATATTTTTGTCATTATTTTGCCTGAGTATCCCTTTAATGCAAGTTTGATGAAATTTACAAAATGATTTCAGAAGAGACATTGTATAAAGACATCAAGTATAACAAGTGACATAAAACATAGAAATTTGTATTTGCTGAAAAAGTTATATCGTACAAAGACATAATCTTATAGGTCATTTCTTCTCTTGTAGTTAATTAGGTACATTTCTCTCTGATGTCAATCAAACAAGACAAGTTTGCATGTCTAAACACAGTTAGCCTGACCATATACCAATAAATAGTAACCCAAGAGAGAACAAGTAAATTAAATTTGACTTTTGTCT